CAACTATATAAATATATGGTATCTCAAGAATGTATTGTATTCAGGAAATTCCAGAGGTATAGTTCAGTAGACCACACTATAAGATAACCTTAGGGCAGCTGTGGCAAGACTATAGTAACTGGAAAATGTTTTACCCTGAGCTGAGACTCAGAATGCCCCAGTGATGTTTAATCAATCAGCCAACAATTCTCTGTTGACTAAGATTCTTAAACTGGAGTGAATTGTGAAATGAGTTCTATTAAACATGTATGAAAAAATGGATTATCATTTGCTATAGCAACAGCAGTTCTCATTTTAACTTTACTCCATTTAGTTTAGAAATTTAAATATGCTGCTTTTATTAGTTTCTTTTGCAAGTTTGCTTTGCTTTTCCTTTCCCAAATCCCAATTGAACTTAAATGAGACATCTTCTAAAGAGAACTGTAGAGGGAAGAGATAGAGGAAAAATGATTTACTACTGTCTTTGGAAAGAGCAGGAAAACAAGCTACCTCAAGGCCTATTATTTTTAGAGGCTATTGAAGCCAGAGAAACAGTCTCCTCTTGAAAGGGTGTTGTGTGAAATGCCTATCTGCTTGTGGATTATTCTCACATTGATTGCCTGCATCTTAACTACTGGGAAAAATCGATGGGAGAGATACAAGGTCATTTAGCAATTGGTTATCTGCCTGAGTTTGAGGGCAGACCACAGATCAGTTTTGGCTGAGCTCCCTAGCATCTCCCTAGCTGACCTGGGCCACATCAGTTGCTCTATCTCGGCTAATACAGCTACAAAACAGATGTGGGGTGAATCTTACTATCCATCTACACAGGACATGGACCTCAAGTTCAAAATGTTGTTACTCCTGGGATCCTAGAACAAGTCTTACAGGCCATCCTTTTGTTTTGTTTTATTTGGTAGCATTTATGAGAGCTGATTTCTCCCTTGTCACATTTCCTCTTTCATATCCTGGAACAACATATCAAGTATGCGTCAGATACTAGGTTCAGCAATGCCATTTTTGTATATGTTGATTAATGGAATTCTCTCAGCAGCCTCACTTGAATGATTGCAAATGAGGAACTGAAGTTCAGGGGAGCATGTCGAGTTGCTGGTGAGTGCTAGACCCTGCCTTCTTGGCAAGACCAGCAGTCCTCCGTCTCAGCCTCACCAGAGACATCTGGAGACCATTAAAGACATAATAACAGCACAACAACTAACCAATGCCTGGACCCTACCAGACTAGTTAAATCAGACTCTCTGGGGGGTGGAGCCAGGGCTGCTTGCTTTTAAAAGCTCTGCAGGTGAAGCTAATAACCAGCTCTCCTCCAGAGCCTCCTATTTAGACCTTGCTACCTCTGCAGAAACAGGGAGGAAGGACAATAGGAAGCAAAGGAATGAGACTAATATTGTTGAGCCAAATGCTTAATATATGTTCTCTTTCCCACAACTGGAAAATGGCTCCCATTCCCCAGATTTGGAAACAGCTTGGGTTGAGGAAACAGAGGGTCACCAAGGCTATAGAGTTATCTTGCTTCAGTCAGTACTCAAAGGAATCTAACTTCCAATATGAATAACACTAAAGCTGGAAATCGTAGACCAATGTTAAAGGCCCCCCCCAAAAAAAAAACAGGGCAGAACTCTTAAAAAGGGAAGATGAAAAATGGGAGATTGAAATGGATTTCATTACCTAGATTAGTGATTGGGATGTAAGCCGAGTGAAGAAATGTTAATTTCTTTGCCCAGAGAAAACCGGAAATAGGCAGCAGAAAGTAGTTTGAAAATAAACATACTTTAAAAAAAAGCCAGATATTCTAATCTACTGCTTCTTTTTGTATCCACCTGGAACTAGAAACCACCAGCCTTGTGGTCACATTTGATTGTACCTGGAATTTCAGCTTTTAGGCTATTTTGATATCACACTTCTCTATCTACAACTCTAGCACTAGAAATCCAACGTACATTTAAGTATTTGTTTATATATTTATTCGTTTGTTTAGTACTGGTACTGAGGCTTGAACTCAGGGCTTGGGTGTTGTCCCTGAGCTTTGTTTGCTCAAGGCTGGCACTTTATCACTTGAGCTGAAGCTCTACTGCTTCAGCCTTTCTGTGGTTAATTGGAGATCAGAATCTCACAGACTTTCCTGCCTGTGTTAGCTCTGATCCACAATGCTCAGGTCTCAGCCCTTTGAGTGGCTTGGATTACAGGCATGAGCCACTGGTTCCTGTCTGAACTCCAATTTTCAATTAAACTTAATTAAAAATATTCCCATGTATTAAATAAAACATAATAGATTTTTCACCATGCTATTTCCACATATTCATATAATGTACTTTGATCATATTGACCCTGTCTGGAGTTATCTTTGAAATTGAAAAATATTAATGGCATCTCTCAGCATCACAGAGATTTGTTCTAGTACACCTCAAATACCAAAACTTGCAGGTAGTAGAGGCCTTTATATAAAATGATGCAATATTTGTGTATAACCAACAACACACTCTCCCATGTACTTTAAGTCATCTCTACATTACTTATTATGACTAATTCACATGCATAGATGTTATAATATGTTGTTTAGGCAATAGTGAGAGAAAAAATCTGTACGGGTTCATTATGATTGTTTAAAAACAATGCTTGGTTGAATTTTTGGATAGGAAATTTTGGATAGGAATCCATGGATACAGAACTTGTAGATACAGAGGGCCAGCTGCATATACAATTTATGAAAAGTTGTGTTCGGGACTGCAGGCATGGCTTAAGTGTAACTAGCAAGTGTGAGGCTCTGAGTTCAAACCTCAGTACTGAAAACGAAAATTCATTTTAGGAAAATAAATATACAAGTATAAAAGGTAAGCCCCTTTAACCACAATCATTATCTAGTCAATAGTCTTCTAGTTTTTTCTATACACATACCAATATAAATATGTCAGTGTTCTTAAAACGATTTTGTGACTCTATGATTAAATTCTTAGTTGTGATAAACAGTCTTACTTCATTCCTTTCATATAGAAATAAGAAGATTTTCAGAACCAGAACAATTATATTTCAAGCCTAAGAAAAACAAAAAGCGGAAATATTTTAAACAAGCATCAATATATACTTTGGTCAATTTGGATAATTAAAGCAGGAAATTTAAGCCAGGAAGAAGCTGAGGCAAAAGGAGAGGCCAGCCTGGGTGAAGTAGCAAGACCCTATCTCAAAAGAAAGAGGAGGGGATTTTTTTTTGTTGGTGGTGATCATAGGGCTTGAACTCGGGGTCTAGGTACTGTCCCAGAACTCTTTTGCTCAAGGCTAACACACTACCATATTGAGTTACAGCTCCATTCTGATTTTCTGGTGGTTAACTGGAGATAAGAGTCTCACGGATTTTCTTGCCTGGGCTGGCAATTTATCGTGATCCTCAGATCTCAACCTCCTGAAGAGCTAGGATTACAGGCATGAGCAGAAGGAGATATTTACAAGCTGCATCAGCTAATGTCTGCTACAGCTTCTCTTATGGTCCTCACATACAGTAGACATTTAGTTACTCTTGTTTCTTGGGCAGGGAAACATGATTGGTTGGTTTCTTTTTGAGAAAGGGCCTTGCTATATCGGCCAGATTAGCCTAGAACTGAAGATCCTCTTCTGCTGAGATTACAGGCATATATATACAGCTATACCTGACAGTCATTGAAATTTTGTTGAATGAAAAATTACCCTTTTCATCATTTTAGTTTGGGTTGATACTAATATCAGAAGTAATAGAAACACATATATGTGAATAAACATTATTGAAGGCTCTAAATAAAATTACAATTTGTATGGTCATCTATTTTGGATTAATCAAGCCAGGTTTAACTTCTATTTTACCATAGTGGCATATAAAATTAGCTTTCCTTGTTTCTATCACTACTGAGTCCTTGGGACTCTGTACTATCAGTCATCTCATGACTTTTCATGTGATGAATATTGAAAGCCCTGCAAGGGTGAAGTTTTCTTTTGATTTATCTGCATCCCCCTCGCACTTGACACAATTCTATGCACACAGTATATGTTAAATAAATGCTTGTTGACTTTACTGGGTATTTTGACTGTGTTAATTTGCTATGTCTACCACAGAAAAGGACTATAAACAGAGTGGCTCAAGAAGCAGAAATTTACAGTCTCACAGTTCTAGAGGGTCTGCAAATGAAGTTGGTTCTAATGGCTGTGAGGGAGAATTTGTTTCAGGCCTTTCTCTTTGACTTATAGATGGTTCTTTTCTCCTTGTTTGTCTTCACATCATCTTCTCTGATAGAAGTCTGTCTTCAAGTTTTCCCTTGTTATGAGGATGTCAGTTGGGTTTTATCAGGGCCCACCCTTCTGACTTGATCTTAGCTAACTATATTTGCCTTGACCCTATTTCCACATAAGGTCATATTCTTAGGTACTCACAGTTCGAACTTTAACATATGGATTGGGGGGGGAGCGCACAATTCACCCTATAATAGTGACCTTTCACTGAATCACAAAAGTTCAGAGTGAGAGTCTACCTTAAAAATCACAAGTTAATATTGCCATTAAAAAAAAATCACTAGGCACCAGTAACTCACACCTGTAATCCTAGCTACCCAGGAGACTGAGATTTGAAGATCATAGTTCAAAGCCAGCCTGAGCAGAAAAATCCCTGTGAAACTCCAGTTAACCTCTCAAAAACCAGAAGTGGAGCTGTGGCTCAAGTGGTAGCGTGCTAGCCTTGAGTACAAAGAGGTTCAAAGACAGTGCCCTGGCCCTAAACTCAAGCCTCACAATGAGAAAGAAAAAAAAATCATTAGTTAGCTTAAAATTGGAATCCTCATTTATCCTGGCCAAGAAGAGCATTTAGAATTTTAATAGTATTTTTTTTAGCAACCTATTGGAGGGCTGTGTTTTTGGGGTTTTTTGGTTTGTTTGGTGTGTGTGTGTGTGTGTGTGTGTGTGTGTGTGTGTGTGTGTGTGTGTGTGTGTGTGTGTGTGTGTGTGTGTGTGTGTGGTTAAATGTTTCTCTGTGTGCTTTCCAGAATGGTTCCTGCTGCCTAAGCCTCAAAGCCTTCAGATTGTCTGGAACAGGTAAGTGTCACATCAAGAAGCTCTCTTTAGGCAAAGAGAAATTCCCCCAAACCTCAATCCACTGAGCAACAACCCCCAGTGCCTCCATCTGGGGGCCCTGAACCCCACTCTGGGAGAGAGCCAACCCGCCAGCCCCCTGGGAGTGTGTTAGTTTTTCTCTATGAACCATTTTACTTTCAGTGAGTTTGGTCATTAAAGTTGTTTTGTGCCCCTCAACCATGCCCCAGGCCCTGAGAACTGTGGGAGTGTTGGCCTGCAAGAAAACCTAGTGGGTTTATTATTCTCTGACACAGAGAAACCAAATAACATCATTGAGTGGCCATTGGAGGGGGAACTTGATTCATGGAGGTCATGCTTTCCCAGGCCCTCTCAACTCAGTCTCGGCTCAGACCAGGGCAGACTTTTATTACCAGCTTTCAACAAATCCCTAGTTTCTTTTGCAAAGTAAAACAGATAATAGAGACATTCCGGGAATAGTTAGCTAACTAAGCTGTGCCAGGCAACCTCAGGGCTAAGAAGAACTTCAGTGTTTTCGGACAATGACCAATTACAATAACCAGCATTATTTGATCTGAGAGTAATTAGCCGAGGCTCTGTTCTTTTTGCTTCAGTGAGGAGGCAAAAAGGGCAGCGAGGAAAACATCAGAGACAGAGGAAGGGAGCTCAAATGTCAAAGAAAAACACAGTCTCGCAGGTGAGGAAACGTGGAAGAGTTTCATCCACCAAGATCCTAAGCGAACGTTTCAATGTTGCTCTCTGAAAATGTGGAATTGTTTAATCTAACCAAATGTTGTGTGATTGCTCCGTACATACTGTTCACATGCTTTAAAGTCACAGAATGAATAGCATGGTAGAAAGAATGAAACAAGTTAGGAATGTAGAATTGATACTACTAAAGCTTCTTTTATTTAGAGGAAAAGCATTCCCTAGACTGCCCTATAGAACCCAAATGCTTATTTTCAAAAGCACCGTAGAACCTGATATTCCCCATTGTCTTGGAGACATGGTCCAGGAAACTGTTGTCTGTCATTTATTTTATTGGAGATGCACAATCACTCCCTAACCCATATCTCAAGAAATTCACTTTATTTTATTTTATTTTTTGGTGCCACTACTGGGGCTTAAACTCAGGGCCTAAGTACTATACTTCAGCTTTTTTGCTCAATTTGCATATTACTAGTTAAATCACAGCTCCACTTCTGGCTGTTTGCTAGTTAATTGGAGATAAGAGTCTCACAGTCTTTCCTGCCAAGGCTGGCTTTAAACTCTGATCCTTAGATCTCATTCTCCCGAGTAGCTAGGATTATAGGTGTTAGCCACTGGTACCTGGCTTGAGACATTAGAATTCTTGTGCTACCTGCTAAGTGTTTGCTTTATTTCACTGCTGACTTCCAAAGTAAATCTAACTTCAAACCTACAAAGCACCTTAATACTCATGCTGCTGCTCGCTGTGCACAGTGCTACCAGCTTCTGGCTGTCTCTCCCTGCCCGCCTCAGCCCTTCCTTCTAGTGCTGAGCTTTTCTGACCATATAGCACCTACCACTTCTGCCTCTTCTCCTGCTCCTGGTAATATCTGACCTTCACTCAATTTTCTACCTTCTCTCTGTTCAAATCTTCAAGCAAGAAGCAATGTCTGGAGCTGTCCTAAAACAGTGGCCATGTGTAAGACAGGTGTTCAATCCCAGTGGCTACATTCCTTGGGAGACATAGCCACATAGGGGAAGTGGCTGTCGTATTGGGCAGAGCAGAAATACAGCATTTCTTTCAGCATGGGACATTCTATTGGACAGGTTAGATTACCTGCCCAACAGATTATCACATGAGAAAATTCTTGGTTCTGTGAAGGGCTCTGCTAAGAGGTCTAACTTTATTCACTTTGTTCACTAGATGCTCAGCAGGATACTGCATATATTAGTATATTCAATCCTTATAAAATGTGTTCCCAGGTTAAAGAGGAGGGAAGTGAGGCTCAAAGAAACTGACCAAGTAATTGCTGCTAAGTAAGTGGAGTAAACAAGTTATATCTGGTACACAGGTCTATACACCTTGTCAGTGGAATCAGGTTGTCAATGTGGTGGCCTTTCTCCAAGATTCTTACAGAGGTGCAGTGGAACTGTGCAAGGCCTATTAATGGACACAGCACTTTCATTAGGGTTTGATGGAAAACCTCTTTAACATGAGCCTACTAAGTACACACTCATTTTGCTGGATTGGCCAATACTGTGTTATGTTATTACAGAGCCTGGAAAAGGCACTCTGGATGGAGGTTCCCTGCCAGCCTCCATTAGGTCATGGCTCATATATAGCTCTTCACCATTAGGTTCCTTTCTGTGCTAACTGGCCTGGAGATTTGCAAGGACTAGGAATTTCTAAACATTTTTTTTTCTGGGGGGAGGGTCCGGTTGTGGGCCTTAACTCTGGGCCTGGGTGCTGTCCTTCAGCTCTTCAGCTCAAGGCTAGTGCTCTACCACTTGAGCCACAGCGCCACTTCTGGCTTTTTTTTTTTCTGCTTATGTGGTGCTGAAGAATCGAACCCAGGGAGGGCCTCATGCATGCAAGGCACGCGCTCTACCACTGAACCACCTTCTCAGCCCCCTAAGCTTTTTTTATTTTGTCTATGAATCAGTTATTCTGGAATTAGAGAGTAGTAACCAATTTGCAGAAATAGTTTTACCTCATGGCAATCAGATACTTGAAAGTTTCTTACACAAATATTATGCAAAAATTAGTCCAATTACCACCTGGGGTCAGGACCTCTGCATCCTGCACCTAGGAAGGTGCTTTAAGTTGGTATGCAAATTTGACACTCAGCAAGCACTTCTGTTTTTTTTCTTTATTAGTTTAGAGCCGTGAAACTTAATTAAATGTTAGCTATCAGTCCTATGACTTTTCAGATCTTCAGGAATCTGCAGTTTTCCCTCTTATGGCTTTCTGTTTGTAAACTTATTTGTAGGTTGTAGGGATGGTTGCACCGAAATGATTGGCATTAAATTGTGGAAGACCTTTTAGTATTGTAAGTAAATAGGCACTATGAAACATGCAAGGCTTGCAGGGTTGGCCCCTACCACCTTCTTCACCTTTCTATCAGGGCTCTCTTCCTGTCTTTGTCCCAAACCAGCCAATAAGCCTTGATTCTACCCAACTTTTATGCATGGCCTCATGCATGCTAAGCACACATTCTACCTCTTGGCTAGAACCCCAGCTCAGTGATCCATTTCCTTAAACTACCCCAGACTGCACAAGGACCATAGAAACATGCCAGCAGTGGCTATTCCTTGCCTGTCCCCAGTTCTCCAGATCTTAGCTCAAACATCACATCCTCAAGAAAGCCTGCTCTGACCATCTCCTCCTACTCTAAGTCCAGGCTGACTAGGTTCAGGCTGCGATAACAAAATGGATAGTTTCTAATCAATGTAAGTTTATTGCTCATAGTTCTGCAGACTAGAAAGTCTAAGATCAAAGGTATCAGCAGATTCGGTGTTTAGTAAGGTCTCTGTGCTTCCTAAATGATGCCTGAAATTCAGGGCTCCCTCTATCCCATAATAACTACTCTCTCATAACCTAGTAACCTCCCAAAGGCCTCACCTGCTGTATATGTGTGTGTATATATGTATATATGTACATACACATATACATATACATATGACATATGTGTATATATACACAAATTATATGTAGTGTTGGGGATCAAACTCAGAGCCTTGAACATTCTAACATTACATTCTCAGCTTTGGCCCTTCCTTTTAATAGCACAACCTTGGTCATCAGGTTTCAGGATGTGAATTTTAGAAGGATACAAACATTCAGACCAGAGCAAAGCCTTTTCCTCACAGTCCCATTTAAGTATTTATATGATAATTTGGTGAGTATCTGACTTCTCTATTAGACTGAGATGCCAAAAATTTTTTCCTGTGCCTCCCAAACCTAACCACCTACTAGCATACAATTGTTGCTCAATAGATGTGTTTGCTCATCTCCAAATATCAAATTCAACACGAGGACTAGTCCTTACTGTGATTTGACTGCTTAATGATCTCTCTTACTCTGCACCTTATCAGAGTAACCAAGGGAGCTCCTTAGCTCCATCCTGGGGATGGAATAAGCTCTAAGGTTTATTGGGGCCATTTTTTTCCAACCAAACTATACCTTCCAGAATTTTCTCTCTTCCTTTGACCTCTTTAGGACTCAATACCTGGTGTCTTTGGAGACCAGAGCCTGGAAGATATTTTCAGCCAGGCTTTTTTGCTTGGCTGGGACTACTGTAGCCCTCCAAGAAGAATCTTAATTACATATTTCTGCTTCTATAATTACAAGTTCTCTGTCTTTTGTGTGCACATGGTACCCAGAGACACAGCAGAGGGTGGGGAACTAAAGGAGAGAATGTTGAGGTTTTCTCCCTTCATCTTAGTAATGGGCTAGTTAAGAGCTTTAGCATGGGAGTTATTTTTCCAGTTGCCACCAACGTTAGTAATCTCGGGAAGGTTCTATTGCAGAGACCATTCTAAATTTCACCAACTCTTTTCTTCAGTTTTTGTTTTCTCCCTTTATGTTTCAGAATGGAGGCCTCTGGAGAAACTATTTTTCTCTCCCATTTTTTCTTTCCAGGCTGGGTGGAGTTCCTGAAGCTGAAGACCTGGCCTCCCAGATGTTGAAAGGTTTCCCCAGAGACCGAGTATCTGCCCAGGAAGCACTGGTTCACCATTATTTCAGTGCCCTGCCTTCCCAGCTGTACCACCTTCCTGATGGTGGGTGAGGGAGTGTGTATGTGTGTGCATGTGTCTATATGACCTTACATACATACATGTTCGTATGTGCTAAGTCTCAGTGCATGTCTTAAGTGTTCTCTCAACATAGGAGAACCATAGAATTTGTACCCAGCAGGGAAGTCAGAGATTGATTTGCCTGAGAGAAGCAAGATAGGACTCAATCTTGCCTGAGTTTCCAATGAAATTCTCTAAAACTCGAAAGCTCCGGGGAGGAGAGGTGACAAGATCCTCCTTGGGATGATGCAAACATTTCACATACGTACACTTACAGTTAGAAATTGGCTGAGATGAAAGTTGCGTCTGAGTTGTTTGCTTTAGCTAGCATCTGCCAGGAGAAGCAAAACCAAAGTTTCTAACAAGCCCCTGCTCTTTTTTCCACCAAGAGTAAGACAGTAAGATGATAGGTGACATGGATATGTCAGAGAGGAGAGCCGGGCCTTTCTTGATTGGTAATACGATGCTGCCGAAGGAAGTGCCGAGGTGGGGTGCTGGGGGAGGGGAAGTGTCCTCCCGGGCTGGCCTCCCACTGGAAACCCAAGTTACCCTGAAATCAGCCTTTGCTGCTCTGCCTGAAGTCATCCTCCAAATCTGAGATCCGCCATGGGGTCATGTGGCTGGAGCTCTCCTCGTGTTTCTCAGAATGTGGCCAGGAAGGGCTGGGTGGAGGATGTGGGCAGTCCAGGGCTGGGCCCTCTGGAGGAAGAGGGGGAGACTATCCTTAGCTGAGATCTCTTTGAAAATATTCCTCATTCAACAGAAAACAGTTTTTTGAAGTCTTAACCCAGAGAAAGGAAAGTTAAGGAGGAGGGTCTAGGGGCTCAGACTGGGGGAAAGGGTCTGGGATGAGAGTAAGGGGAAAATGGAGCTGGGGTACAGTGGGTAAGGATGGGGTATGAGGGGCGGGGGTACATTGAGGTAAGGAAGGAGTATGATGGGGTGAGGAAATACTGCTCCAGAGGCATAGACATATACCCAAGAAGCATACTGGCACAAGTTGCCAGGGTTTGCGAACACAGTTCCATGTCTAGGACATTGTCCTGCTACAGCCCCAAATTCTTAGTTTGTGACTTCAATTTTTATTAGTAAAGTGAGTTATTTAAGACCTCCCCAAATCACCCTTATGATACAATGGAGGTTAATGTCTTACTTAAACCTGTAAGAAGGTCAGTCATTGGAATTTCTTTAGTTGCCATGAAGTGTCAAGAACATAGGAAATGCTATAAAAAGTGAAGGAAAACAAGGGACTGGTCTTTGGTCTTAAGGATCTTGTGGAGTGGGAGGAACAGAGGGTAAAGAAGAGGAAACAGGGCACCCTCGTCTACATATTAGCACAAATCATATTTAAACAGCTAAAATCTGTGTGTAATCAACTGCAGATGTGCAGAGACTGCATGTGTTAAAGGCAATTCTTTGGAGAAATGAGAATAATTCAAGGGAGATGGATTAGGCTGGAGGTGAATCTGAAGAGGAATGTGGAAGGAGGGGAGGGACAGGGTTTGGCATATGGGTGGGATCAAAGACATGGCTACCAACCTGCAATTCTTCCCCATACCTCTGCCCTACTCCGCAGGACCCCTTCTACTCTCCCATCCCCTTCCCTTCTTCTCAGTCTGAGCACCTAGATCCTTCCTTCTCAGCTTTCTTCTTTGGGCATTGGGATTTCCAACTCTACCACATTGTACAAGTGTACATGCACGCACACACACACACACACACACACACAGCTCTCCACTTCTACTTCCCCAGTGGTCCTCCTTCAGTGTGTATTATTGTACAGGAAAACTGCTGCGCTTTTCAAAGTTTTCTGGGTACCAGCTTTTTTGCCTGATGAAGGCTAATTAGGATGAAACAATCACTGTCCAAACTGATATGTTGGTAGGAACTTGGGTTTTGATTCTTCCCGGGCAACCCACAGCAAAGTCACCAACAGAGGGGCTCTAGTGAATGTACATCTAGAGGGGTGTGTGTGTGTGTGTGTGTGTGTGTGTGTGTGTGTGTGTGTGTGTGTGTGTGTGTGTGTGTGTGTGTGTGTGTGTGTATGCATTCACATACACACAGATGAGAGAGACAGAACAATCTGTATTCCTCCTCTGTTCACCCCGCCACAGAACCCAAATCTACTTTGACACTTTTAGAAAAATGAAAAGATGGAATCTTGCAGGAGCCTGCCTGTGCTGGGGGGTGGGGGGAGATGAGGAGTGCTCACAGCAGGAGGGAAGTTGACTTTTCTTTATACATATAGGGGTTTTTCCATGCAGAGTTTAAATTATGCCTGATAAAAGGAGTTTCGTGGATGTTTCAGTTCTTTCAAATTCTCCTGGCTTCCTCCCAATTAAATGAGGTTTGTCAAAGCCACGGGGCTCTGCTGCTGCCGCCTCGGCGGACAAGCACTTCCTGCAGCGACATCTCGAATCCCTGAGGGAGAAGATGAAAGAGTCGGTGCCAAGAGACAGGGAAGCAGGGAGGGGGCATTGTGTGTGTATGTGTGTGCACGCATGTGCTTATGCATGTGTGTTTGGGGAAGGGTAGAAATGGACATAGAGATAGAGCGACATGAGGATCCCCAAAAAGGCCAGCTACCAGGAAAATTGGAAAGGAAAATAGGAGGCCAGAGAAGAAGCTGATAGGACTGGGGTTTACCTCTTTCTAACAGTGGTCCTGGCCAAGGGCACATTATCCAACCACTGAGGGTTGCATTCTCTGGGCCTGGCAGTGCCAGCCTGCTCTTTCATTGCCCCTGGCAAAAAAAACCCAAAACAAAAACCAAAAAAAACCCCTTTGTTAAGAGTCTTCTTTGCACATGGAGAGGACCCATGAGTATCCAAGATCCCAACCTACAGGCATATAAAACCTCCATCCTTGAGGTGGGCTGCCCCAGGCATGAGAATTGTATAAAAATAAGACTTGCTCTTGGGAGTGATGTGCAAAGAGAATTTCTCTGCCATAATTAGGCAAGAAATGGTTTTCTCTGGGAGCACTTCAGTATAGAATCATTTAGGATGCTTATGTTTATATCAGTTTATTATTCTAGGTTTTTTTTTTAAGTCTGGTTGCAAGATAACAGAGTTGTCATTTTAAAATATATTCTGTTTCCCCTTTGATCTGTAAGAAGCCAGCTCTTATTGTCTACCCTCTGAAGAAGACAATTAAAGCATGAAACCTGCAAGTGGGAAATATATGTGTGGAGCGAAGGACAGCTTAAAATCCCAAGGAAAGTGTGCTGTAGAAATTCTTCCACAAAATGAAAGAACGGCCCCTACCCATCTTTGTTGATTTTCATCAAACCAAGTCCTGAATTGTGTTTTCTCTAGGTTGTAGCCATAAGCTCGGAGCCAGAGGAAATTTATCAGGGGGTTATTTGCCATGAAAAACCAGGAATTCCAGGATTAGTTCCCTTTTGGAGCTCACTCTTAAGTAGAAAAGCGTGAATATGAGAATGGCAGGCATGTGGGACTGTCTGCAAAGCTCTCACATTCTCCCTCCTTGACTCTTGAACACCTGAAGAAACATTTGTTGAAGGAGAAATTATTGGTAGTCCCTCTCAAAACATACCCAACAGCAAGTTAATTGCTTCTGCAGATGGCCAGGGAGCCTGGTCCTCATAGCCAAGCCAACAGTGCAGGATGTCAGCTGGGGCAGTGGACCTAAAATTAGGCCCATGGCAACTCTCTAATCTTAGCCACAGGTTCATCCTCTTCACTTAATTCCCTTTGCCCTCACTATGAACTTAGGCTCTGGGAAGGAACACTGTTTAATGATTTGGGGGTGGGGGAGTAGAAAATCATTAGGCTGCCCCTTCTAGAAACTGGCTCCACTCCGTCCTTACAGGAAACCTTCCAAATCTTGCCCTTGGAAAGTTAAGACTGATCTTGGAACCTAGCCATTTTGAAGCACACACACTGATCCAGAAAAATACTTTTTATCTAGGGCAGTAAATGCCACGTGATTTAAGAGTCTGGTCCTTAAGCCACGGTCCTTGATCGTCAAGACATCAAAGGCTGTCTTTCTCTCCCTGGGTTGGTCCTATTTTCCTTCCAAATCCCAGGCTTGAGTCTCTACTGTTCCTTCCTGAGCTAAATCCCCCATCTCCTTTAAAACAGGTCTTAGCATTTTAGGAAAAAATAAAATCCTAACACTTAAAAGCTGGCAGTTGTTTTACAAGTAATTTTACAAAAGCTGTGTGTCACCTGGTGTATTGTCTATAGATAGATAGATAGATAGATAGATAGATAGATAGATAGATAGATTCATAGAAACCCTGGCATTCTAATCTATCTTTTCTTATATCACCCTAATATCTCTACACTGAAAGTCCTCCAGCAGGCCCCATTCTTGGTGTCCTGTTAAAATCTGAGCTATATTTTGTTTCCCTCCATTAAAGGAACTTCAGGCCGGCCACTGGTGAGCCCTGTGAATAATCCTAGCTATTCTGGAGGCTGAGATCTAAGGATCAAGGTTCAAAGCTAGCCAGGCAGGAAAGCCCAGGAGACTCTTATCTCCATTTAACCATCAAAAAGCCAGAAATAGACTTGTAACTCAAGTAGTAGAGCACCAACCTTGAGCAAAAAAGCTAAGGGAGTATCATGCCCTGGTCTTGAGTTCTAGCACACACATACACACACAAACACACACCTCCAAACATTCTTTTAGATAGTGTAACAATTATATCTTTAAATTTTTTTATTGTTATTATAAAGGTAATATACAGAGCAATTATATCTTTAGTACATTTGAAGATCCCTATGACAAAATCACTTCCCAAAGTTCACTTCTCTAGGATGAATTTCCTTAGCTTTTGCCTCTGTTGTTTCCAAATATAGATTCTATAGCTCACACTTTTTAAATCATTGTGTTTCATTCATTGTGTCCTATCTCAGTCTGTTCCAGTTATTTTTCTTATCTCTAAGACTCTGGATCCATCTTAGACTCAGGTTTCTAACATAATGGGAGAGGGAGAATTATATGGCAGTTCATTCATC